CTTCACGCATAGGTGCGTAAAGCGGTCCCAGGAAGCGAACACCGGGTTCGCTCTAGCGGACCCCGAGCGAACCCGGAGCGCACCCAAAGCGCACCCGGAGCGGTCCCAAAATTTCTGAAAGCGAACCCGAAGCGGACCCCGAGCGAACCCGGGGTCCGCTCCGGTTTGCTCTAGTGTTAGGTTGTGTCCGGTCGGTACTGTACATGTAGAAGACGTTCTCAATCCTTCACCTTGAAATTTAAGTATGAGAAATTCACCTTTAAAATATGTTATTCTCTTTCAAAGTATATTTCAAATTATCATGCATTCCATTTCCTGGTCAGTTTCGATTTCAATTTGCAACGTTAATACAGTTTTGCACAAAGGTTGATAGGACGTTTTATCGCTAAAATGATATTGTCTTACGAACCGGTTTAAGAAAATGTGGTGAGGGCTAGTTAATTTATTATATATTTTATATAACAACAAGAACCGTTTACGGTAGCTCAGTCTGTAGAGCGCTCGCTCCGTGATCGGAAGGTCGTGAGTTCGTATCTCGGTCGCGACTGACCTAGTCGTTAAAATGGGTAGCAACTGTTCCTTCGCCATGCGCTCGGCACTTTGAAGTGAAAGATGCGGGTCCTTCGGATGAGAACTTAAAAACCGAGGCCCCGTGTCAGCGGCAGACGCTGGCACGATAAAGATCCCTCACTGCTCAATGGCCCTGAGTGCCGAGTAAAGGTCAAAATTTGAAGCCCTTCACCGGCATACGGTGACGTCTCCATATGAGTGAAAAATTCACGAGAGGGACGTTAAACAATATACAATCAATCATAACAACAAGAGGCCCATGGCACTTATAGGTCACCTGAGTATTTTGGAAAAACTTTCCAGTGATTGAATTTGATTCATGTTTTAAGTCAGATGCTATGGCATTCACAATTCCGAAAGTGGCACCATTTATTATCATAGCTATACACTTAGCAGTTGCTTAGTTTGGTTACTTAAAACCCATAGGCAGGAAAGGGGAACAAAAACTGCATTTCAACTGATCAGTGATATTCAGCAGTAAACACTAGTGCCCCTACCACACATGAACCCCTGACCCTTGGGCATAGATCCACACATTGAACAATTTTTGAAAAGGTAGTCTTGCTTTTCAAAAATATTTGATTAATACCAAGGAGCAGATTTCAAACAATTCATTCATTTTCAGCATTTAAGTACAGCCCCCCTCTATATGGTACCCCTGACCCTGGGGCCTTGAAATTCACGATTCTGGAAGATTAGGGGCCTTGCTCATCATAACTTTGTAGGTACCTCATCTGCTTTATACCCAGGAGCAGGGAAGAAAATTTCAAAGATTTAATGTAGTTTCAATATAATCAATAGGACCCCGCCCTAACACCAGATCCCCCGATCCTGGGGCCATAAAATTTAAAATTTCGGAAGAGGCATTCTTGCTCATCATAACTATGTACTAACTAGAAAATTTCAAAGATTTAGCGTACACTGGGTGAAAAAAGTGGTTTCCCATCATGGGAAACTTTATGGAAACCACATGGAAACCTCAAGTTTACATCATGTTTCCCAGTGGTTTCCGTAGCGGATGCTAGGTTATTCCGCCAAGTTTCCGTGACACGGAAACCCCCTACGCTCCGATTCCATAAGGTATCCCGAACCACGGAAACCTCTGTAAACCTGAAGTTTCCCGAACATCCATGTAGTTTCCCATAATCGGAAACCTCAAGATTCCACTGGTTTCCAGAATCAGGAAACTTGATGGAATCGGAGCGTAGGGGGTTTCCGTGAAATGGAAACTTGGTGGAATCTTTAGGTTTCCTTTTACGGGAAACTACATGGAAGCTCGGGAAACCTCACGATTCCTAAGGATTCCTTGACTTAGGAAACCCTATGGAATCGGAGCGTAGTGGTTTCCGTGGAATGGAAACTTGATGGAATCTTTAGGTTTCCTTATACGGGAAACTACATGGAAGCTCGGGAAACCTCAAGATTCCTAAAGTTTCCTCGACTCAGGAAACCATATGGAATATGAGCGTAGTGGTTTCCATGGAATGGAAACTTGATGGAATCTTAGGTTTTCTTTTATGGGAAACTACATGGAAGCTCGTGAAACCTTATAATTCCTGAAGTTTCCTTGAGTCAGGAAACTATATGGAACTTGTGTAGCATTTTCTGTGTGGCGGAAACTTGGTGGAATTATCTGGAGTCCCATTCCTGGTGGAAATTACTGGGAAACGTCAAGATTCCCTAACTTTTCTGAAGGAAGCAATGTGAAATAATGCGTATTCTTTTAAAAATCAATCAAAAAAATTTATTGCATGTAAAAGAAAAAAGCATTACCATTTTATATGTTTAATAATTCATTTGATGTATAAAAACTGTAACTGAATTTTTCAATGATATCAAAATATTAAATAAATTCATATATCTTAGATAAACAATGGAACAGTCTTTCACATTTAAGTCCATTCATAAGGGTCATTAAGTACTTCTTTCAACATCAGTTTACTGGTTTTCTTCACATCACTTATGATCTGCAATATTCATACAAAATTATTATATGATGTCAGAATTATAATGCTTGAATATAACTTAGAAATCTGAAAGATCAGTCAATGTCCTTTAATATACCAATATCAATAATTACTTTCCATGACCATGATACATATGATTTCAGCATTTAATGTATCTCTTTAATATTTAATGCTTTATGACAAGTGAAAAACAAGATGTGTTTGTGAAACACTATGCGCCAGGCAGCAACAAAGTTCAAAAAATCTATTTTTAGCATATTGGTCACAGTCAAGGTCACAAGGTCATTGACCGTGGTGTCATTTGAAAGAACTTAATCAGTGGAGTATGCATCCCAAATATGAAGTCCCTATCTCCTATGGTTTAAAAGTTATGGCAAAAAGTGTAAAAAGCTATTTTTAGCATATTGGTCACAGTCAAGGTCACAAGGTCATTCACCGTGGTGTCATTTGAAAGAACTTAATCAGTGGAGTATGCATCCCAAATATGAAGTCCCCATCTCCTATGGTTTAAAAGTTATGGCAAAAAGTGTAAAAAGCTATTTTTAGCATATAGGTCACAGTCAAGGTCATTGGCCATGGTGTTATTTGAAAGAACTTAATCAGTGGAGTGTTCATCCCAAATATGAAGTTCCTATCTCCTATGGTTCAAAAGATATGGCAAAAAGTGTAAAAAGCTATTTTAAGCATATAGGTCACAGTCAAGGTCACAAGGTCATTGACCATGGTGTCATTTGAAAGAACTTAATCAGTGGAGTATGTATCCCATATATGAAGATCCTATCTCCTATGGTTCAAAAGTTATGGCAAAAAGTGTAAAAAGCTATTTTTAGCATATAGGTCACAGTCAAGGTCACAAGGTCATTGACCTTGTTGTCAACTGAAAGGGCTTTATTAGTGGAGTATGCATACCAAATATGAAGTCCCTATCTCCTATGGTTAAAAAGTTATGACAAACAGTGGAAAAAGCTATTTTTAGCATATAGGTCACAGTCAAGGTCACAAGGTCATTGACCTTGATGTCATTTGAAAGGACTTTATTAGTGGAGTATGCATACCAAATATGAAGTCTCTATCTCTTATTGTTCAAAAGTTATGGCCAAGGTTAAAGTTGACAACAGACAAACAGATAAACAGACAAACAGACAGGACAAAAACAATATACGCCCGGGATCTATCGATCCGGGAGAATAAAAATCACATAATATAAATAATGTTTTCAGCCTTATTATGTCATTGAGAATATATTACTACATGTATCTCATACTAAGAACCCTACTTTAAGTTTGATTAGTTTGAGAGAAAACATACCCTTTATAATAACAAAAATATTAGGGATTGATTTTTTTTTAAATTTTGATATTCGACCTAGAAATTGGTTGAAGATCATTGCAGACCCTCCGCCCCATTGCACAAAAGCTAGATGACACCAGGGGAGAAATATACTCTGGACTACGATTTTAAATAAAGATATACAGTAGATTTTGATACTGACCTTTGACCTAGAAAATTAGTCCAAGGTCACTCTTCATCCTCTATTCACAGGCTCTCTGTAGTTTAGGTTTGAGAGAGAAATATGCACAGAACAAGTGATTTCAGATGGAGTGATGGGTAGACACTGTCTTAGGGCATCCACAGAACAGGACCTAAAAATAATGCAATATATATGTATTACAGTATATATACACATGTACTTGTATGTTAAAGATTTATCATATGCTGCATTGGACACATATATGATTTTATTATGATTTAAGTATACATGTATCTTATGAGTAATTTTATACCGGTATTGCATGTACGCTCAGTTCATTTAAGAAATAAATAACAAGTTTATAAACTTCAATGGGAGAGATACCACAAATGTATATATAAGGCCAGGTAAAATTAATCTTTAGATTCTCATCCTAATTTGCAAAAAAATTGGGGCGGGTGGGCGGATTTTATTTTTTATTTTTATAATTGTTAATTTATATATAGGCCTAAGTATCAACAAAGCAATGGACGCCCCGTACACTTTTTTTTATTACCTTAATGCAAATATGAATAGATTTAATTCTTGTCATATTCTTTTAAATATTTAAAGAAAATTTTTGCTTTAAAAGTTAAATATTTATTGTTAATTAACAAATTATCAAGTACACATTATACGGCACACCCTGAACAAAATGAGGTGGGGATAGCAATGAATTGTGTATGCGTGACTTCTTATTTTGCAAAATCTATACTATAAATGTTCTAATAAGTATTCTACTGAAAAATCTAGACCTTCTCTTAAGTCTGTCTACGATGCACAGTTGTAGATTTTTTTTTGTTTCAAAGCTAAGTCACACTATTGGAGATCGTTATATATAACTTGACCAGGTGTCATTTTCCTCGTCTATTTTTACTTAGTTATAATCTCCCTACATACTTGCTCCTGCCAGTGATGGTATCTATATGTGTTTATGCTATTTTTTCTTCTCTGCCTTCTCTTTACTGACAAATTATCTTTTCCTTACATATTTAAACTGCTTTTATTGCCGAATTTTCTCCATTCTTCACATGGCGTTTTTGCTATAAATAGCGACACGCGACTTTTAATACAGACAGGAGATAACTCTTAAACTTTGACCCAAATTCTTACTGAATAAATGAAATTACCCAAAAATCAAAATAAAAAACATCGGGGCGGGACATTTTGAGAGGGGCGGGCGGGGATGAGAATCTAAAGATTAATTTTATATGGCCTAAACAAGTAATGTTATATTTTTTTTTTTACATATATTGACCAACATTATTTACATCCATTCATCATGTTCATGAATTGGCTGATCAAAATTCAGTCAGTTTTAGATCTATATGATATACCATAAAGGACTTTCACATTTACAAAAGTTGTTCCCCTTCGCAGGGTCGATCTGGGGTCAACCGGCTTAAGACGCTGTTTTCCCTCTTTAACAGTATCAACTTTGAATGAGGGACAATATCTTAGAAATAAAATCTGTATGAACATATTCATTATGATTTTCATGTTGCCCCCATACTCTGGCAATACAGATACAGATCGTAATTGTCCAATATTTCTGAAAATTGAAAATATTAACAAGTAACTTACAAAGGACAAAGTGGGGAAAATGAGCGATACGCCGCCAATTGAAGAAAACTCTTAGGAATGTGAAATTTGTCTATTGGTGATGACAATTCCTGTTTTAATGTCACTGAAAAATTAAGAGACATTAAAAATTTAAGCCCTATTTTCATACACGCATGCTGTTTTTTCATCATCCATATAACCTTTTAGTATCATAAAATTTACCAAAATTTAATACTTCAAATAATTTCATTGAATATCTATAAAATAAAGGAAACTCTAAAAACTTAGTGACTTGCGCAGAAATTATTGATTAAAGAGAAAAAAATCTATCATATTTCATATAAATATGTGCATAATGAGCCTTTTTTATTCATTTAGAACAAATGGTATGTGCCTCATTTCCCCAAGAAATTTTCAAAGGCAATGGACTATCTGTAAGCAGAAATCATTGCTGTTTACTTACATTGGAAAATTTATGAAAATAATTAATATCCTATTTTTTTTTATTTTAAATAATGCTAAAAATAATCTAACTGACTGTAAAATAACATTTTTCATAATCTTAATCTATGGGCAGATCACTCTCACTTCATAAAACTACCTGATATTAAAGTAGAACTCTTTAGTGTGCAGTTTTTAGAGCTTCCTTTAAGTAATCAAAATACTGACCAGCAAGAAATCAGTTTATAAGCATTTCCTTTTTTTCATTCAAATTTTTGGAGAGATCTCAGAGTTTTTTCCTGTTCAATTCAGGTTCAAGACGACAAAGTTTTATTGAAGTGTATGTATTAGAGATTTAGAAATTTAGAATCTTTTTTTTTTCAGGCAATTGTCATATACATACTAATCATGAATGAATTACCACTTACCAAATGACCACATCCTGAATCATCATACATTATCTATGATTTTATCTCAATGGTTTTCTTTTAAAGTCACACAGTTTTCTTCTCTCTGAAATGATAAATTATGTCCAGGTACTACTGCATTCTAATTTAAACCAATTATGTAATAGCATTAGCAACAACCGGGATGGAAGAAAAAATAACCAGAAGTCTCTGTCGAGACTGTAGCTCCACTGGTTTGTACTTATCAAAAACTGATGCACAGAATTATGTATCTTAGTTAGGGCTGTCACGGTTCCAAAATTGTTCGGGTCGGGTCGGTTCCGATTTTTTAGGTTCGGTTTCGGGTATTTCGGTTCGGGTAATTAATGGAATAAAAGCTAATGATTTGTATTATTTTCAACAACAAAAAGAATATTTTCATTTAATCTTCGAAAAAGCAACATTTTAACTAGTTTAAAGTAGATTCCGGACTAGACAACAATCGTACCATATTATTTAAATCACCTTATAATTGCAATGTATTAAGAAATCTCTCGTTTTTGACGCCTTTTTTATAGTAAAACCTACACTACTATACAAATCGGAACCGAACCGAATTCTGGAAAAACAGAACCGTACCCGAACCGAATGAATTGTTCCGCGGTTCCGGGTCATTTCGAGTACCCGTGACAGCCCTTATCTTAGTATAGTCTACTTGTGTGCCAAGTTATATTGAAATCAGACTAAAATTTAAGGAAGAGTAGTGTTTGCAGACAGACGGACAGACAGACAGACGGACGTATTACTATCGCATAAGCTCTTCTGGTCTCTGACCAGTAGAGATAAAAACAAGTTGCGCTTGTGAAACACAGCAACAAAGTTCAAAAATGCAATTTTTTTAGTATACAGGTCACAGTCAAGATCACATAATCATTGTCCTTGTTGCAATTTGAAAGCACTTCATTAGTGGAGTATGCATACTAAATATGAAGCCACTAGTTCATATAGTTCTAAAGTTATGGTGAAGGTTTAAGTTGACAACAGACACTCAGACAGACACACAGATATACAGTTATGGAAAAAGTTTGAACAATATATCTTGGTATACACATAGCCACTTCGAGATATCAAGGGTAAAATTCACAACACAGCGGGACTGCATTTTGACTTCAAGGGATCAAGGGTTTCGAGAGATCAGGCGATAAATCAAGAGCAAATCTGCTTAGTTATATAGTGAAAAAAATTGGGACTGGAGACTCACTTCAAGCGATCAAGAACTTCAGAGAAATCGAAGTTCAAGCCATCAAGAGTTACCTGTATATACAGATATAAGAAGCATGTTATTATTTGCAATTTTGACCTAATGACAGCTAAATCTGTTCAGTAAGACAATACCGTGTACATGTATGTAAAGTAGTTTTATTGTGCATGATTATTTACTTATTTTCTTGATCTTCTCAACTTGAAGTGTTCTGTATTTTATTACCAAGTTTGTAATAAACAAAATGAAACATAGCCTTTTCCACATCACATCCTGTATCAGACCTTCGACCAATATCAGCCCTAGGGCCTCTGTCCCTCTGGCTGATATTGGTGTCTCGGGCTAGGATGTGATATGGAAAAGAGTATGTATTATTCGCTATACATTGACCTACTCAGGTCAATAATTGTGAAAAAAACTGATAATTCAAGCTGATGATTCATTTGCATTTCTTAACATACTATCAATATTAATTCACTATTAGGCTTTTCTTTTTTTACATCTTCATCTCAACAGGTTAGACATTACAAAAAAAAATCTTTTGAGCAGTAAACTATTTCAATAAACAATAAAAAAAAACATAATCTCTTCAGAAAAGTGGACAGGCTTTCACCTACATTCACTTTTTTATGTATATTTTTCCTCCATATCATCGTCATGCATATGATTAAGGGTTATGCTATTCGCTACAATCTATTCCAACTGTTCTGATGAGGATATCCTTCATGAACAATCGGATAAGCTGAGATTGAAGACACTTTTTGTAAAAATATCGATGCTTTTATCAAAGTTTTGAACCAAAAATATTTAATTTATACCTTGCCATAAGTCGTAAGTTCCAAAAAAACAAGAGTTGGCTATCCGAAAAGTCAGAAAACACATGTATTCAAACCGGATGTTCTACAGTCTGAATTTAACTACGAAACCATGCTCGGTGTAACTATTATCATCCGGATAATTTGAGCGGGGTTAAAAATATTTTTTTTAATTCCGAAAAGTATTCATTTATATATAGAGAGAGAATGTACATATGGAGCATACATTTTAATAAACATGATAAAAGGCGAAACGTTGCCATTTTACAACATACAGCATGCACATGCACGGTGCCTTTGGGGCCTCCATAATCTAAGTTATGCTATATCACTGTCTCAATTTTCTCTCTCTCTCTCTTTCTCTCTGCAATATATACCCTTAACAATTTAAAACTGAGGTATCCAACTTTTCAAAATGGCGTCAGAACAAAAGTTGCCTCCGATAGTGGAGATTTGTTGTTGCCAAATATTACAATTATTTACTGTAAAAAGTTAACAAAAATATACGTACACTAATCCTTCATCGTTGGCCATTGCATTTATCACAGTCTTAAAGACACTGGGTGGTGAAACCATCTTAACTTTTCACATTTACCAGCTGCTTACACCTTCTTCTTCGTCCTTCTCGATCCTCCAAAAATGGCGCCTCGGGAAATTGACCAATGAAATAAAGCGCCTACAGAGCGATGCAGGATGGGAAATATAAACTGTTTACATTCACTATTGATTAAGTGTGATTAGTGTGTGTGTGTGTGATCTTATATTAGAATTATATATTGGAAAAAAAGTTTTCCCCTTTTCATGGAATAAAAAGAGGGGCTCCTAAATATTTTTGCCGATATGATGTGTAGGCCTAGTATATTTAGAAAAAAAAGCGGTTAAATACATGAGGCAAGAGCAGAAAAAAAAATGTTTCTTGCTTGACACCTCAACTTATTTGCCTTCGGGATATGGGTTTCGGGGCTTGGTTGTTGGTAGTGGCCGTCCTTGCTGAAAGTAACCCCCCCCCCCCTCTCCCCGCTTCTTTTAACTGTTACATGTATGATTATGAATTTATAATGTCACACCAAAAGATGTTAAATTTTTAAAAGCACATTTTTTTTTTATTGTGAACTTTCCACAGGAATCCTAAAAGGCATGAAAATGAGCTACAATTATAATATGATTATCAAGAACAGTTTTTTTTTATTTCAATAGTGATGATTGAAAAGTTCGGTGATTAATAATTCATTGCTAATAAATTGTTGTGTTTTTTTTTTGTGGGGGGGGGGGATTAAATTACTAATTGAACTCCCTCCTTTTCGGGGTTTAATTAGATTTTGAGCCTGCTATCAATATTACTGGTGGACCTGCTAGACTTTTCTCTAATTGCTACATGTACATTGTACTTTAAACTCCTTGGCCTTTAGCTAAAAAAAAATTTCCCACAGCATTTTAACACGTAAAATTGTTAAATGAATCAGAATGGTGAAAACCTTTTTCTTAGGAGAGTTATATCTCTAGGTGGAACAAAACTAACATCTTATCAAAGGCAGGAAAATATAACAGTATTTCAATTCAGTATTTTAGTCGTGATTGGTATAAGCGAAGTCATGGGAAAGATTATGTCGAAAGTCATCTATACTCGTTGATGTGCAGGGCTGTACTTATATATGCATACAGCTTTAGCTGGTCCCGCCCTGTATTTCTTTAATGTTTTTTTTTCGTTAAGAAATCTGGTAAGGTATGCTAGTAAAAATAAAATCCCGGTTAGTTTATTACTCTAACGGAAATTACTTTCCTACACGCTTGAAGATCGAGTCTATTAGTCACGCAAGTTTTTTTTTAAAGAGTAGCATGTCGGCGAATAAAAATAAAGTAGTATACAACATAGATAAAGAAATGTTTGTTGAAGTGTTGACAAACTTCATACCTTTATAGAATGAAATCAACAAAAACTGCACAAAAATACAATCGTGACAATTATACAATGAATTAATTATACAATTAATTCTTTTAATAGATTGCCTTAGCATGCACTACTTTAAAAGCCATTGTTCTTAAGGAAAACAAAATCATGTAAGATATGATAGACTTTTCTTTATCTAGAGCAATGGCCTTTGGAGAAAAAAAATGGCTGAAAATTTTGAAGTTTGTGAAAATTTTGAAGTTTGTTAAATATAATGTATGTGCATTTAGGACCCTACATTGTAATTTCATGCGAAGAGTGCAGGCGTTTACTACACGGGGATCTGCGTACATATTTAAACAAAAAAAAGGAAAGAAAAAAAAAAAAACGTTTTATGTGATGAATTATATTATAAACATTTATCTAATAAATGTCTTTGTAGTACGTTAGATTACAAATTTCACACAAAAACCCATCAACAATATTAAATACAGTTTTGATTTCACATTGATCTATTAACGTCATTCTGATTTAATATAATTATACACGACGAGAATTAAGATCTATTCAATACCTATAGAAAATTATTTAATTTCTAAAGAGGATAGTTTTATTTTAAATCAGTAATGAAAATTGAAATAAAAATTCTAAATAGTTTGTTCTTTCATTGAACTTCTTAAATGTAGGTTATTTTATAAATATGTTCTCTTGTATAACTTTATTTATGGAATATACAATTTTTTAAATGATAAAAGAAACACGAATCATCATCTTAATTTAAAAGAATTTTCGGTCGGAGACTGTGTGTGTACATGTGTGTGACAACAGCCCATTGTTCCCTTTAGGTACAAAACCGTCTCAATTCACATAGAATATACAAAAAATACACAGTGACAGGTGTCTTCGCGGCACGTGTCTCCACCTGAAATGGCACGTGAGGACAGGTGTCCCTAATTACACAGGCCGACCATAGTGACTTTTTCAAAAGCGTTTTTTTTAGGGGGGGGGGGGCTTCTCAAGGAAAAAATGAAAAGCAACCCACCCACCCCAAATAATAAAAATAATAATTAAATAAATTTAAAAAAAAAAAACAATATTCACTATTTGTAGTAAAATACTAGTATGATAATACTCAACCCCCAGCCAATTCGATGAATGATTCTTATCTGACCAATTTATTTTATTATATCAATTCATATTAAAACAAAATCTTTATAACTTTCTAAACTTGTATTTAAAAACTTGAAACACTAAAAATGTAATTTTGACAAACCAACTGAAGTATTTTTTTCCTGACGGATTACCCCGGTATATAAGAAATGCCAACCTCTGGTATCTAACACAAATGCCTGGTAAGGTACCTTGATGTCTTGTGAATACATGTAATTATGTAAAAATAATTCTTCAATGTCAATTGCAAAATATTGGAAAAAAAATTAATTATTTTATTGAGGAACGTCTCACCTGTCCTTAATCAGTAATCGTAACTTGACATATTTCTTTATTTACTTTTTAATCGATCTTTTTAGTAAACCTTTTCTGTAAATAATTTCATTAAATGTACCCTTCCTTAGCTCTTCCATTTTTTCAAAGGAACATTCATCATAGACAGCTTCAAGAAAGTGGGATCGGAAATGATTGATTTCTACATAACTGCATGCACTTACTTTTTTCTATTCCACTTCACGCATTCTATACGAGTTTACCAAAACTTATGTGATAAATCAAATTCAAAATTAAATTAAATTAAATAAAATTCAGTTAAATAAAATTTAAATTGAAATTGAATTGCGTTCAAGGTGCTGAAATATTAAATTAATCACACATAAATACACATCTAGTTATTTTAACTGTTTGAAGTTAATTATTTTGATACAGCATGTAAACACTTTTGAAATATTTCTATAATTGGTAAAAATATGGTAACATAATTAAATATTTAACTTTTTGTAAAATAAAAGGTAGGTGGGTTAGTATTGAGATATACTTTCAAAGTTTCCCTGCCTGGGAAACATGGGGAAAACTACACATTGGTGGCTTCCATGTCGGGAATCTGTATGGAAACCACTGAGGCATGTTTACATGGTTTCCTATCTTGGGAAACTTACGGGAAACCACAGGTTGGTTGTTTCCATATTGGGAATCTACATGGAAACCACCGGGGCATGTTTCCATGGTTTCCTATATTGGGAAACTTACGGGAAACCACAGGTTGATTGTTTCCATGTCGGGAATCTATGTGGAAACCACTATGTGGTTTCCATAAAATGGAAACTATATGGAAACTACTGATGTCACGATTCCCATATGTTTCCATCGGGTTTCCAAATTTGGGAAACCTGGCTTTTCATCCTGTGCCAGGGCCATAAATTTCAAAATTATGATAGAGAACTCCATGCTGATTACAGTCATGCAAACAGCTTGACTGCTTGATGTCCAAGAGTGAAGAAGATTTTTAAAGATTGCATTTATTTTAGTGGTTTTGGCCCCACCCCTCAGACCCCAGAAGGCCAGGGATCATGTAAATCACAATATTTGTTCCATTTCACCCATAGATGCTTTGTGTCAAATTTGGTTGAAATTGGTTTAGTGGTTGCAAAGGAAAAGCTGAAAATGTTCATATGTTAACTCAGGTGACCTAAAAAGGCATCGCTTAGCTACATGTACACATCAACACATCTGTGGCGATATCAAATGACCCAATTGATCACCTTACTGTAACTCATAAATTATTCAAATGATGCACATTAATCGCTTTGGCGTAGGTGTATGGTACAATTTTTATAAACATGATACATGTACATAAATAAAATAATTGTATGCTATAAACATTAAATGTATCTGAAAAGTTCTTGGAATGGGATATTATGGTATTAATGTAGGGAATATTTCATGAGAATTTCAACTTGTCTACACATTTGAGAGAGTATTTCACTCATTTATTAACAATAATTTCACCTCGGATGATTTTTGTTTTCAAAGTTAAAAAACTTAACACTAGAATATAAACTTATTCTTATATATACCTCGTCAGTACTGCCTTTCTGTTCGTATATGTTTAGCGTCATTTCTGAAACGACCTTGTGACAACCTGCAATATAATTAATTTAATACCAAAATCAGCATACGAGATTAATTTCATGCAAAAGAGGTTAAATGCTTCAATGTACTTATTTTTCTCATGTTTTAATATTATATGAGACGTTTATATTTCTTTAATAAACTTACCTTTTATTTTGTGAAGCAATCCAAAAATTGTCTCAAGATTTTTTTTTATTTTTTTTGCAAAATGGTTAGCATTACCTAGGGTCAAAGTTTATCAAAATTATTCTTTGGCAACATAGAAATGGGTTTTAATTTTATCCAATAAACATCAATGTAAAACAAAATAATCTATACTAGTCTACCAAAAGAGAAAGC